AACAAATTATATTTTAATGGTGTATCCATATGCCAAATATCCTCAATAAAATGTAACTTTATTATCGTTTACGAAGATAACTAAAAAATGGTGATCAGCCATGTGATTTATTTCGCATTAACATCATGGGACGACTTAGTTGTCATTGTCGCCTCGTAAAATGATTTACGGGGAGGAAGGATTTCTCAATGATGGTGATGATGATGATGGTCGTCTACGCCGGTCGTCTGACCACCTACAACAAATGGCGACGTCATGAACCCACATTTAAAAACATAAACACACACACACAAAGAAATATTTTTGCAGAGGTTCTAACATATACACGCTCTGGATGCAATGCAACAAATATACCTACAAATGTCATACCGTCCGAACAATTGTCATACATACAAACATATTTCTGTTTGCTTCACCTACTTCACAATGAGTAGCAGTGCAACACATTTTTTTATGCCGCTGTTGTATTTTGTTTGCCATATTCTCGAAGTAGTAAAATTTTGTTGCTCTTTTTTAGTAGTAGTAGTTATTTTGTTGTTGTTGCTGTTGTTATATGCGTACATACATACTTTTGTATTTTAGTTAGTTACATTCTATTGGCATTTAGTAGCTACGTTTAGTTCAGTTGAGTTGAGTGTGGTATGGATGGGATGGTATGGTGTCGTCGGTGGTCATTGTCGTTGATTTTAATTAAATATTCCTTCCTGTTGTCTTCGTTTTTCGTTTTTTTTTCTGTTGCTGTTATTATTATTGTTATTATTGGCTGTTGTATCCAATTTTTTGTTGTTGGTTGGTAGGTTGTAGTTTTGTTTCATAATATTTGTAGTAGTTTATACCCTCGTGCCAAGGGTACTAAATGGGAACTTGTAAAAAGAAAACTTATAAACCCAAATTTCAAACTTTAAATACAAATTTATTTATCGTAATTTCTATAATCTCTCAATGGAACTAGCTCAGAAAATTTTTATTTCAAATCAGAATTTCAAGCAAAAGTCCTGCTAAATAAATAATTTATCTAAATTATTAGCCATTATTATTTCTATGTTAGTGATTATCATTTTTTTATTACCTAGTAATTCATTAGTATCTCGTAGGCAATAGTCACTTTCATTACATGTGTCTTTGGAGTTTGTTATAGTAATATACTACCTATTTATTTCTATGATGGTCGATCATATTTTCATATTTTAATATTCTTACTTCATAACAATTATTCCTTACATATTGAAAAGCAAGCTTACACATGTATGCGTGAATTTGCGTTTGAAGTTTTTCCCAATTATGGTAATTCATTGAGGCAATTAAAATCTAAAATTACATGAACTTCTATATCCACACATATTTTGTTTATGATAATGATAATCCATTTTAAGGTGTGTAGGGAAGTAATAACAACCAAATGTACATTGATTCTTTTTTGTTTTGGTTTTATTATTAATTTTTGTTTTTGCCATAACATCCGATTCGCTTAACTTCTGTAAATTGTAAAAAAATTATTTATGGTGAACTCCATTACATTGCCCATATTTTGAAATCACATGTGCCTTATGTCATATTTTTGTCAACCGTAAAAGGAAAAATTTACAAATTTCGCCTAGGTCTGGTGACGCCAGAAAGTTTTTTGTGGACGGTATTTAAAAAAAAGACAATTTAAAAGGTCATAAATTTACATTTGTTTTGTTTTCTTTGTGGATCAAAAGAAATAATCAGAATTATTAAATTGTAATATTTTCAATATCCGTTTTGATATTTGATCAAAAACAATTATGAATATTTTTTTATTACTTAATAATCAATTCGTCGACATTAAGTCGCCTTGCAAGGGGGTACTCTTTAACATTTTTTGGATGACAAAATGTATATCCATATTTCATATATAAATATTAATCACAAGACTTTCATTTGTTAGGTGACCTATAATGAAATTTGGCATAGAATATATTCTCCTTTGACATCCTTCCCCTTTCACTTATCGATAAAGAGAGATTTTGGTATTTATCCAAAAACCTGTCAAAAATGTGTAAGAAAATAACATATGTTTTTGAGGCGAACAATGGAACCGACATTTTATATATAAATATCATATATACGGATTTCTTTGATTCGGTGACCTATAGTGAAATTTGATGGATAATATTTTTTCTATTTACACCCCTCCGCTGAAATTAATTTTTGTTCGAGATTTTGGCATAAATTCAAATTAATATTTAGGAAAATATTTTTGGATGACAAAATGTGGACCCATTTTTCTCATATAAAAATTATATATACAAATTTGTATTGTTCGACGATCTCTACTTAAATTTTATGTAGAATATTCTCTCCGTTGATATCACCCCGCTAAAATGATCAAATGCGGCATATTTGAGAGAATATTAAGACCGAAATAAAACTCGAATTTTTTTACATTTTTTATGACGACATTTGAACCTATATTTCCTATATAAATATTATACATCCCGATTTAATTTGTTCGGTGACCTATAGTGAAATTTGATGGACGATATTTTTTCCATTGACACTACCTCGCTGAAATAAATTTTTGTGGGAGATTTTGGTATAAATTCAGAACAACAGGGAAAAATTATATTTTAAATATAATTTTTTGGATGACAAAAAGGGGGCCAATATTTCCCATATAAAAATTATTTATATAGATTTCAATAGTTCGTTGACCTCTACTTAAATCTTATGTAGAATATTTTCTCCTTTGATATCACCCCGCTAAAATATTCAAATGCAGCGAAATTGAAGAATTATTACAGACCGAAATAAAAAACGATTTAATATTATAATTTTTTTGATGCCGACATTTGGACCCTATTTTCCCGTATGTGTAATATACGTCCGAATTCAATTTGTTCGGTGACTTATAGTGAAATTTGGTGTATAATATTTTTCCCATTGACACCTCCCGTCTAAAAATAATTATTGTGGTATATTTTACCATCGATTCAAAAAAAACAGTACGAAAATTATGACTTAAAAAATAAAGGTTAAAAAGGTTTTCGGATTACAAAGTCTGGACCCCATTACATACATAATTATTATATATGCACACTTCTTTTGTTCGGTGACCTATAGTGAAATTTGCTGTAGAATATTTTCTTCATAAACATCATACTCCTAAAGTAAACGATTGTGGGATATTTTGGCACGTGATCACAACAGTCCAAAAATAATAATTAAAATTAGATTTTTAAAAATCATTAAATTTGGACCGATATTTTTATATAGAAATATTATATTTATTAATTTCTTTTGGTCGGCGACCTATAGTGAAATTGGGCGTAGAATATTTTCACCAATGACAACATCCACCTAAAATCAATAATTGTGGGATATTTTTATGCTTCTTGAAATTGTGTCAAAAAAAAAAAGTATTTTAAAATGTTGGTTTAATTGTTCAAATGTGCAGCTATATTTTATATATAAATATTATATATACAATTATCTTTTGTTCGGTGACATATAGTAAATTTTAGTTTAGAATATTTTTCACATTGATTCCGCCCCTCTAGAAGTTAAAAAGTCTTTGTTTTTTGCTTTCCGACAAATATTAATATTCAGACGTCATTTGTTACAAATAAACAAATTTCTTTCCTCATAATATAAATTTTGAACAGAAAGATCAAGTATTTAATTTAAAAATACTCTGGAATGGCTTGTTTATCCGATAATATTTTACATCTCATCTAATTGCGGACTTATAGCAAAATATGATAGATCATGTTTCCTCTTTGATACCAATCATCTGAAACGTATTTAAACATTTTAAAAACGTATTTAAAAACATTTCATTCAAATTATCCTTATTTGTAGGCTATCTTTGAAGAGATTAATTTTCAAAATATCGAACCTAATTCTCTCGCTTTTTGGTCAAAGTTCGCTATAATCTTTCCGATGTGACCAGTGTCATGAATACCCACGACAACTAAATTTTCAAAACCACAAAAAGAAAAAAACCAAATTGAAATTCCAATACAGCAAAGACAACAATTGATTTTCCAAGTAGTTACCTAGATGGGCTACACAATTTTTCTTCGAAGACCTCGCGTTAATGAAATTCCATGAAGTCGCAAGCATGTGGCCAATTGAAAACTCTTTAACAACAAATACGCTGAACGGTATACATCAAAACCCCGTTTACTTCATTAATGGGAAAAACAAGTGAATGACATGAGAAAATGGGAAAAATGTTCATTAAAAAAACTTAACTCCACGCCAAAGAACGTTTTGTGAGTTTTGGAATGCTGGTTGGTGGTGCCTGGCCCTGGCTGGGTGTTTTGCATAAAACTCACATAAATTTACAGTTGGGCCACTTAAAATGTGGGTGAATGTCGTCAGCCAGCCACTTATGGACTTGGACTTCGGCACCCATAATCACTTGGATGAAGTAAGAAAATTCAACGTCATCCAAATCATCATCATTCAATTGAGTGAGTGAGAGACCACTTGTGTTGTCGGAGGGGTGATGGAGGCAAGCAAGCAAGGCTTATTGGGATAACCAGTTGCAGTTACAATTTAAATTATTATTTAAATGTGGGAATTTTTGGTTCCCAAGCCTAACTGAGTTGTTTACATAAAAATTTATTCGTTTTTTTAATTTTTCTTCTTCTTCTCTTTACAGTTAATGCCGAAACGAACCTTAACAACGACATCTAACACCACCAGCACCAAACCCCACCACGATGAAGAGACACACACCCGCGCATATTCCACAAACAACAACAACAACTCTAAACATCACAGCAACAACAAATTCTTACAACACAACACATGTTCAACAGACACCTCCCTCGTTTAGTGGGAGCCTGGCCAGAAGTAGAGCAGAGCTCCCGAACAATGGATCCACAACTACAGTGCTAAGCAAAACACCATTTAGCAATAGTTATAAAACAAAAGAAGAAGAAGCAGCAACGACAGAAGATGATGAACCCCATATTGTGGCCTTGGCCAATAAAAGTACAACAGACCAACAACAGCAAGAAGAGAAAGGAATGCAAACGAGTAGGAGGACATCAACATCCTTTTGGTCCCGATGGCAATGGTGCCAATTGAAGCCATCAACAGCCGCCTGCGTTTCTGCATTTCTGTTATTATCAACGACATGTTCCTTATGTTCGGCCACTTTGTGTGATCCGCAAAGCTGGTGGGATCCCCACAAGGATAAATGCATTCCTTGCACTGTGTGCCAAGGTGATATGATACCGCTGCGGCCGTGTCAAATGCATCTGGACACCGATTGTGGTTCGATATATGATTTGAAAATCGATTGGGTTGTATTGGCGAAAACGGAGCCCAATTGGAAGGAGGTAAGGGAGATATTTGTTATAAAAAAATATTTAGAAGGATTAAGAATTGGATAATCACTGAAAGCCTATAAATATAGTATAATATATATTATACTTAGGAATTGGTTTTTTCGGCACCTCATAGTGGAATTTAATATAGAATATTTTCTTCATCGGTCATATTATAGAAAGGAATTCTATGAAAATTTGGCTCAGGATCAAAGTTGCTCCTTAATTTTTATGATCAGAAGATAAATACATATTTTGTATATTTAAAAGCTTTGAAGTCGATGTTTCCCGATATATAATACTCGTGAAGGTCTCTCTTCGGTAGATCCTTGTAGTGAAATTTTATATAGAATATTTTTCCATTTACAATATTATGGTAATATGAATTTGGAACCCATTCAAAAACACCCAATATTAATTCTATTAAAACACTGAGAGAAGTATTTCCTATATACTAAAATTGGAACCGATATTTTTTTGGTATGCCTTATAGCTACATATTTTTTCTGTTCGGTGACTATTAGTGAAATTTGATGTAGAATATTTTCTTCGTTGATTTCAACTACCCAAGTTTATGCTAAAATAGAGAATTTGGGACTTATTCAAAAATAATCAAAAATATGCCATTGAAATAGAGGGATAAATATTGCCTAAATTAAGACCGATATTTCCGGTATATGCATTGTAGCTACAGATTTTTGCTGTTCGGTGACTGCTAGTGGAATTTTATGTAGAATATTTTCTTCATCGGATACAACTACCCTAAAGCATGTTAACATAGAGAATTTGGCCTTAATCCGAGAAAATACCAAAACTAACCAAAAATATGTCATTGAAATACAGGGATAAATATTGCCTAAATAAAGACCGCTAGTTTTCGGTGTTCTAATGAAATTTAATGTAGATTGTTTTCTTCATTGACTTCAACTATCTAAAAGCATGTTAACATAGAGAATTTGACACCAATTCGAGAAAATGCCAAACTAACAAAAAATGCCTTTGAAATACAGGTATAAATATTGCCTAGATAAAGACCTATATTTTGGTATATATATTGCACCTATAGAATTTTGCTGTTCGGTGACTGATAGTGAAATTTGATGAAGAATATTTTCTTTATTTGTTCTATCTACCTAAAATCATGATAAAATAAAGAATTTGGTACCAATCCGAGAAAGTGCTAAAATTGATTCTATTAAAATACTGGGGAAATATCGGTGAAATATATTCAAATTAAGAGTGATATTTTCTTGCTATATATTATAGCTACAGATGTACTATGTTCGGTGGCTATTACCGAAATATATATATATATATAACATCGAGAAAACTACACAATTTCAAAAATACTCAAAATAATTTTTATTTAAACACTGGAAGATATATTATATAAAAACACTCAAATTGAAACCGATATTTTATAGGAAAATATTATAGCTAAAGATTTGTTCTTTTCTTTTTATGTAGAATATTTACTTCATTAGCTTCAACTACCTAAAATAGTGTTAAGATAGAGAATTTTGCACCAATCCGAGTAAATACCAAAATTAATACTATTAAAATACTGGGGAAATATCGATGAAATATATTCAATTTAAGAGTGATATTTTCATGGTTTATATTATAGCTACAGATATATTATGTTCGGTGACTATTATTGAAATTCGATGTAGAATATTTTTTTCTTTAATTCCAATAACCTAAAATTAAGTTAACATGGTGAAAACTGCACAATTTCAAAACAACTCAAAAAAATATTTTTATTAAAACACTGGAAGATATACCGTTCAAATTTGAACCGATTTTTTATAGGAAAATATTATAGCTATAGATTTTTTCTCTTCGGTGACTTATAGTAAAATTTTATGTAGACTTTTTCTCTCTTTGATCCCAACCACTTCAAATCAAGTGAACATAGATAATTTGACACCTATTCAAAAATATTCCATTTAAAGCACTGGAGATTTTTTTATATACTCCAATTAGAACCGATATTTTCCTGATAAATATTATAGCTACAGATTTATTCTGTTCGGTGACTATTAGTGAATTTTGATGATGAATATTTTTTCCATTGACGCGACCCCCGTAAAATGTAGGGTTCCGTAAAAATTTGGCACCAATTCAATAAAGTCAAAAATTAATACTACCAGTTTAGGATAATTTTTTTTTTATACAGCTAATAATATAACCAATAATTTCTAAAAAAATATGTCTCCAATAGGTTTTATTTCTTTGAAGACTTATAGTGAAATTTTATGTAGAATATTTTATCCATTGATACCTAGTCCCTAAAACCGAGTTTTCTGCGAAATAATGGCACCAGTTTGAATATAATCAAAATTAATGGTATTAAAAAACTAGGATAACTATCGCTTATATTAAGACCGATATTTTCGTTAAATATATTATTGCTACACATTTGTTCTATTCGAAGACTATTTGCATAATCTTATGGAGAATATTTGTCTCATTGGCACCAACTTCCTAAAATGGGCGGTTCCATAAAAATTCGGTAGCAAATTAAAAAAGTAAACAAATTAATACTCCGAATATTTCTACGGTTTTTAATTTTTTTAATAATATTTTTTCTTGTGTTTTTTTTCAGAGGCGAAAGTTTGATGCTTCCGATTATGGATTAGACCACCATCAGTTAACTGCCGAACAATTGCAGCAGTTGCAGGATGAAAGGGATCCCATGGATTGGCAAACGGCCGCCTTATTTTTGGCCGTTTTAGCCTGTTTACTGTTTTTCATCGTGGCCGCCTGTATACTTGTACATCATATGCGGCAATGGCGACGTATGGAACGTAGATTAGATCAAGGTAAGTTCTGAAAAGATCCCTCGACTAAGAACCCCTGCATACAATGTTATGAAATCTCTAATTCATTATGCAGCAAGCATAACCGTGAATGGATACACGTTTCACTGTTTAAGGGACAATGAAAGGTGTACTGGTGTATATTTGTTAGTTTGTAGTTGTTGTTGTAGTTCGGTTGATCCGGCGTTCAATCCTTGTGATCACGTTTCATTTCTTCTGTTTGTAATTTGAAATTCCATGCATAACCATTGTCCGAACTAGCGGGAGAGAGATAATTTCTTGTGGTGATGGTGTATTAAGGCGACATTCTACAAGCCAAACAAGAATCCATGGCAAGTGCCGTCAATCATTGGCTATGGCCATGCTCGGCAGATAATTCATTCGGTATTCCAAATTCATTAATATTATGGATTTGTTATTCTTGGCAACCTGAATACCATGGTAATACGGCATAATTCCCTGAAATATTGGGCAACACGTACAAATACAAAAGAAGTAACAAAAAATTGGTCTTGACTTTTCAATTGTCTTCAAGTTTGTTTTTTAATTTTGATGGGAGCTACTGTTTGGCAGACGTAATAATTTTCAGAAAAAAAAAATCGAGAAATAAACACGATTTGTCTTATCTGGTTATGGGGTGATGTTATGGAACCCAGCAAAGAATATTTTTTATGTTCCATAAATGTGTTTAGATCTTCCTTTCTATGTTTCATTTGTTCTCTCTGTTTTATTTTATGATGCCATACACATAATACTAATCTCTTTTCTTTGTCTGTCCTTGGAAATGATAAATATTCATGTAGTCTCTGGTTGTTTTTTTTATGTTCAAGACACTAGGGTCACTTCGGACAGACAGACAGACGGACATTTGTACATTTGATAAACAAACAATTCTCTGGAGGCTACTGAATGCCATCTTCTATTCTTCGGCTACTTCGGATTCGGTTTCAGATTCAAATCATGGTTCTGCAAAAAACAAACACCATGTTTCTGATTAAGACTACTAATGAGCCATTCTTCGATGCAAGATTGTTGTTCTGCCAAGTCATTCCTTAGGGTTCATTAAATGTCTTCGAGGAGCATAGACGTCTGCATGGCATAAAAAGCAACAACATGTTTATGATTTTTCATTTCATTTTTATTATAAGGAAAAGTATTAAAGAAAAATAATCATAAAAAAAACATCAAATCACAATAACAATGAAATTGACATAATATCAACCAACAATAATTGTCTAAGAAGGAGTAAGAAGTGCAGGGTTCGGAATTTTATAAAAACGCCAAATGAAAAAATACTCCCACAACGGAGTGCTATAGGGTCAATATATTTAACGAAAAATGTCTCCCTTGGTCTAAATAATATTATTGATCATTGGAAGAAATTTGAAAAGAAATTTCATTGAAAGGCTGATCCTCCTAATACCTTCCCAAGAACATTAAAAAAATAGGTATTTAGAGATCATTTATTATAACCCAATTTTATTTCTTTCTTTTGTGAGATTTGAAAAATCTCCTTTCAAAAATCTTAGTCCCCAAAATTTGTAGAATGTCATGAAGTAGCGTAAAAGGGCATTAATATCATAAATGAGATCAAATAAAAAACTAGTTTTGGAATTTTTGAAAATTATATTCTCAGGAGTTTCCCACGCATCGTAAAAACCCAAGCAAGTACTTATGATCGATTGAGGACAACGGAGATTTTCATCTATTCCAACTATTTTTAGTTTTCTCAAATCCTCATTAATTATTTTACAAATCGAAAACAATGAAGAAGACATCAATCATTGAAATAATACCCAAAGAACAAAAAAAAAAAAAATGGTTCAAAATCCATTCACAAAAAAATAAGAGGAGGTTGAGGATAAAAATAACAACAGATGAAATAGTAGAGAAGGTGGATTAAGGCAAATGAATGGTTGAAGACACAAGCAGATGTAAAAACTTCAACAAAACACATGTCGCTGCTGCTGCATCCGATGGCCTCTACAGCCGATTTTCCGTGTCTCGCCTTGTTGTGTCGCCTTTATGGGGTTGTCTGTAGATATCATAAATTTTGCCAAATCGGTGTTGTCCCTCTCTCCCTCTCAGTGTATTGACAGAAACTTAATGTTGTTTGTCTTGTTTTGGAAAATTTATGGCTAAAAAGGCTGCAGTTCTTCGGACATGTTGTAGTTTATTCAGCTACATTTGTAGTTATTTGGCCATGATTTTGTGTTAAAAATGAAAATCATCAAATTCGATAAAATATGTGCTCATCAATAGATTTTTTTATGAAAACAAGCTAAATTTTGTATTTTTGTTTGGATTCGGGAGAAATTGTGTGGGCAGTGGGAAATAATGAATGTATGTTACAATTGTCAGTTCATTGTCAAAAAAGAATTATTGGTCATAAAATACAAACTACTGACCATCAATTAGATAAAATGGGTCTAAAATGGGTTTGAAACGTTTAGAAATCTTGATCACTAATCTTTAGCCATTATCATTAAAAAAACTCAATGCCGAAATTTTACTTTCATATATCTTTTACCATGTTTTCCACTAAAATATTAAATTCAGCATGGCTGAATAGCTAATTTTATTACCAGATTTCACTCTGGACCAACATTAAGCCTTTTTCTGTTAATAAATAGCAATACAGCTGGGCTGAATTGAAAAATTCATAAAGAAAAAAAATTAAAAGCTTTTTTAGATTGCAAATTTTCCTTTATTTAAAACTTGCCTTCCAATATATACCATAGCTGAATTTCTATTTTTTCCTAAATTTCATTTTTTTCCTCTAACTTCCTTCCAAAAACCCCATTGTGCCTCATTAGCTCTCAAATCTTGTTAACAAACTACAACAGCCGTTCAAATCCATCCAAACACTTCCGATTAGATATTTCGAACATAATTTATGGCCCGAGCAACAGCCAAACATTGTGTCGTGTTGTCGTCGTCTTGTCGATGTAAATGTTTTCGACAACGACATTACTTTGCCACTTAGCAGAAAAAAACGAGATCAGCAAAAATAATGTGGAGGAGGATGAGGACGATGATGATGATGAGAATTTATTCCAATGTCATCAAAAATAAATATTTTACATTTTGGCATTTGAAAAAAAAAAACCGACAACATCGGGCAATCATGTCAAGAGAGAGAGAGAGAGTAGGAAAGAGAAAGGGAAATACATAGATATCCGGAAGTAGGCACTTTTTTTTAAAAAAAAGTGTCATGTGCTAGTCAGCATTTTATCTACGGAACGGAAGTGCCTGTATGTTGTTAAAGGAGACAAGGAATCAAATATTCCCACGGGAATTTTCATTTGAAGGGCTAGTTGGGATAAACCGGAAATGAGAGGAAGTGGGAAAAAAGGTCAAGTATCAAATTCTGTTTGACATTGAGTAACAGGTTCTTTAAAACAAATAAATAAGAAGAGATTTTTTGGAGGCTAACGGCCATGTGCGTACTCGCTAATTAATCACAATTCAGCAAATGCGGAATTAGTGTATCTCTACCTATATTGAAATATTATTTTCAGCTCTGATAAACTTTCAAGGAATGAAAATTCAGTTCAGCTGAATTTTTCCCCCAAAAAAGTTAAGTTTATCGTAAATAATTTCAATTCAGCTAAGCTAAATAAGATGTAAAACAATTTAATCGAACAGAGAACTTTTTTTCTCATACCCTAAAGTTGTCAAAGTGCAATTCAGCTGAATTGAATTGCAGTTTATATAGTTTAAAAATAAATTAAGTGATAATATATTTCAGCTGAACTTTTCCCCCAAAAAAGTTAAGCTGAATAAACTGTAAAATGATTTAATCGAAGAGAGAACTTATTTCCCCATACGCTGAAGTCGATTATTTTCACGATGGCTAAATTCGTCAAAAATTAATTCAGCTAGGCTATGTTCAAGTTTAATCTTCATAAAAGTTATAAACACACAATTAAACTAACCTATATTGAATAGGCGATGAATTCATATTAATTTAGCCGATTTCAATTTGAGATAAAACGTATTTTTTGAAAATTCAGCTGAGCTGAATTAGCTGACATGCAATTCAGCTGACTTATTTCAAGTTCTGGTGTTATAAAAATGCATTTCAGCAATGCTGAATTATATAGAAGACAAATTCAGCATCAAATACAAATTCAGCTAAGCTGATTTTTTTTGCAAAATAACATTATTATATTAAAAATAATTTCAATTCCCCTAAGCTAAATTAGAGATAACAAAAATTAGACAGGACCGAATTCAGTATTTCTTTTCGAATCCCCCTAATAAAGAGCTGAATATAAAACCAATGTTTGCCAAAACACCTCAGCAAGTCATAAATAATTTCATTTTAGTTCGGCTGAATTAGCTTGGGTTATGTTGAATTTCTCAGTTTGTACGACTCATAGAAATTTTATTCAGCTAAGTTACATTAAATTCTTAATCAATTAACATTAAATATGCAAATTCAGCCGAAAAATACTGTTTTTGCACAATAACCTCATAACATTATAAAAAATTCAATTCCGCTGAGCGGAATTAGAGAAAATAAGAATTAGACAGGACTGAATTAAGGATTTCTTTTCGCGATAGTCATGAAAATTCTGATAGAGTAAAATCTGCGCTAATAAAAAATCATGCTGAATCAGCTGAAAACAAACGTACTAATTTCCAGTTTTTATTAATGCCTAGCCCTTAAAACGCTATTCAGCTAAGCTGAATTATATATTTTTCAGGAGTTAATCATTTAGACTGAATTATATATCCATTTCAATGGTCCCTAGCCTTCAGAAATTTAGCTGAATGCAGCAGGATTAAATTACATTAACTATTTATTTTTCTTGTATTTCTCAAAAATGCCAGACACTGTCGGCTAATCATCTCAGAAGAGACAAATCCGGAAGTAGCAACTTTTTCCTTGTTTCTTTTTGGCTACCGAAAAAGGAAGTGGATAAAAAATAAAAGGAATGTCCAACAAAATATTCCCACAGGCATTTATCTTTTTTTACAGAAAACGGCGACAGCGT